AAAGTGCAACTTTTTTGTCTTAACACATTTTTGCTTGTAGACTTTGAATTTCTTCTACCATTTTCTCTAAAAATAATATCTTTATACTAGAAAGGCTTCTTAAAATGAAAATTTTAGTAACAAGCTTGCACAACATGTCTTCTTTTAAATAAGGTGATATCGCTTGTTGTCAATATTGGTCGATACTGGAATGTAGTGATATTTGGCGCCAAGATATACCATTGAACTTGATAGATTATTGATGAACGGATATAGTTTACAACATAGTCAATTATTACCATAACAAACCGACATTTTTGACACATGTAACAATCAATTTCATTTTCCTTCAGTACATGATAGTTATTGCATTTTTCTGGCTATTCAGTCTTCATATAATATTATTGAGACGGAAATTGAATTGCAGAAAAAGGTTAATGTTAAACATCTTCGGACTTTCTATGTGCTAAGACTAACAATGAAGAAAATAAAAATTAATAGGTTGATAGGTTGCATTCGTTTATGTAAAGAACTTGTTTGATATCTATCTTTACATTCAAACAAATGAGCCAATTTAAGATGCAATTTAAACTTGTTCGGGAAGCCGTATGGATGTATATATAATATTTTCTACTATTGTAAATTATGTAATGTTCAGCTCATTTCATTTCTTCTTTCCATTCAAAACACCAATCTTCAGTAGAATAGGGAAGTTGAATGATTAAATCTCATAAAATCATTGCCTTGTTAGATTATCAATATTAAATGGTATTATAAAAAATTATTAAAAAAGAAAATTTTAGTTGTGTTTAGTAATTATTAAAGAATTATAATTCATTGAATATTGAAAATCTCACAATTGTCTCATGATGAAGGAGAAAATCATCCAACCTATAATTTATAAAAAGTTAAGTTATTTAGCAAGACAGTCGGTCATACAAATACCTTCATAATTTTATGGATTCAACCTATATCCCCTGATTTAAAAATAGGGGTAAAAAAACATTAACACCAATTACATTGAATTGAACAGGATAGAAGAATACCATAATATAATTTCATCGGCAAGGTACTATATATATATTTGCCAGCCTTTAACATATTAGTATTGATTTCTACTGTAGGCCACCAGGTTTATTAAATGAAAAATTTTTGACTTTATATCTACGAGGTTTTTTTATACATCCTAAAGAAACTATGTTTAATTTTACGGTTTAAACAACCGTAATATTAAAAATAGTCCTCAAGGTCAGAGTCATTCCAATTTTCGGATAAAGTTCCCATTTGATTCATGTATCATAGGTGCAGCAGAACTTGTAATTATAAGTCACATTACGGCCTTCAACGACGAGAAAAACTCATACCATATATTCAGCTATAAACAGCCCCGACATGAAAAATGTGAAATCATTCAAACTAGAAAACTAACGGCCTAATTTATAAAAGCAAATTTACGAAAAACAATTATGACAGACATGAACCAACGACAACCACTGAACTACAGGCTCCTGACTTGGGACAAACATAAGAACAAGCTGTATAACAGTTGCAACATGCTTAACTGAATAGATCGGTATAATTCACAAAAACAATAACATAAAGTACCGATATAAGAGTACTCGCAGTTACTGGAAGCTAATTCAAAGCCAATTACAACTGATGGATAAATTGTGTTCTCCCAGTCCAAAGTACACATCCAACGGATTTAGTGTAAAGACGTTATAAACAGTCAGAGAAGCGTATGACCTTGTGCAAAATTTTATATTTGTTTGTTTCAATATATAACCGAATAAACAAGTTTTTACTCTTCTTAACTTAAAGAGTCCCGTTTATATTGTTTCCGATTCACTAATGAAAACAAAATTATCAACTTCAAACGATTATCGTATTGAACGTTGTACTTGGTCAGTTTCTGAATTAAATGCGACATTTGATTTGTCAACGAACAAGTCAGTTTTTAAATTGAATATTTGAGCTAAAATGGCATATACAAGGATTTTTAAAAAAACCAAAGCAGTGCGTGCAAAACTGTCAGGTTACACATAATTACCATCATTTTCTCAAAAAATATAACAACCCTGAAATGTCTTTTTCGAAATTTTTTCAGTTTTTGGCTTTTAATTTGAAATCTTTAATAGAGAGAGAGGAACTGTTAAAAGCAATTATAAGCATGCTAATTTAAAATCTACACATAAATCAAATTAGCCAAAACATACAGTCGACTCAATAAAGAACTTATTGCCTTTTATTCAATAAATGACTAGTTTATCCATTCTTTTTTTCACTTGAAAACTTCAATAGATAGAGAAAATTTTTAAACAGAAAAACTGATAAGCAAGACAAGAACAACAAAAAATTCGAATGGTCGGAGTTGATCCCTGAGCTATTGTCCTTCAATGATGATTTTAGGCGTTTTGTAGTGGGTTTTTTTACGAAAGTTTAGTAGATAGAGAGAGATAAACAGGAGAATAAGATCTACAAATAAACCTTATGGGAGTTGTTGCCCTTCAATGACAACTTAAATCCATTTTTGCGTGTTGGGCAAAAATTAAAGTCGAAAATGAGAAACTGTAAATAATAATTATAAATAAGAAGATGTGGTATGAGTGCCAATGAGACAACTCTCCATCCAAGTCACAATGTATAAAAAGTTAACAATTATAGGTCAAAGTACGGCCTTCAACACAGAGCCTTAGCTCACCTCGAACAGCAAGCTATAAAGGGCCCCAAAATGACTAGTGTAAAACAATTCAAACAGGAAAACCAACGGTCTATAAAATCTATATAAAAAACGAGAAACGAGAAACACTTATGAACCACACCAGCAAACGACAACCACTGAACAACAGGCTCCTGACTTAGGACAGGTGCATAAAAATGCAGCGGGTTTTAACCATTTAACAGGCGCCAACCTTCACCCTAAACATGACTGAGATCTATAAATGAGTTACAATGGTCGAAAATGACGATTTTATGCTGTAAACCTGTTTCGTTGAACTTTTTTCGAATAAATTTTTTTGCCATTGGAATAGAAGATCCGACAATCGATAAAGAGAATGTTTTTAAACGTCTCAACTTTTTCTTGTGAGTTAAGAAATAATGATTCTTTCATGCCATGATCTATGCACATTAAAACATTTTAGGCATGATATTTGTCAACATCTATATACCGAGCGATAGCGAGGAAATGTGACAAATATGATGCCTGCCCATGTAAAAATGAGCATAGAGCATGGCATAACAGAGTTGTTTCGATTATAATTGGAAAACTCAGAACTTGTGTACTTCTAAGTGAACATACAAGACACGTTAAAAGGCCCCCCTTTTTTAATCGCCCCAAAAAATAATTATATCATGTTTTTCACGATTTATATGATTTTAGCATGAAATCGTCCAAAATTTTACGGTATATAATCTGTTTTATGGAATACGCCCCCTTTCAAAAAATCCTGGATCCGCCCCTAGCTATTATGAGTTGATGAAGCACAAATGTTTTATAAAACCAACTTTTTTATGAATCAAATATGAATTTAAACTAAAGATTAAAACTTTCTCTTAGAATGATTATATATAATTTCATTGCGAGCGTTTATCAAAATACAACGATTGACGTTGCAACTTTAATTGTGGCGTCACGCACGTGCACCCCGTGTTGTATTGGCTTTGTTTACAAGGCGAAAGAAGAATGTTATATTAGAATGAATATTTCTACATCTATAAAAGTATGGATCCCGAGATACTATACAGATAATTTAAAACGCCAAAAACGCTCGAATCAGGTAAAAATGTATTTAAAATGAGAAAAAACTGAGGAAAACAAATAGTAAAATGACAAAATTTCAATTATATTAAGTGAATTGTTAATTACATCCGTAATTATCGTCGGGTAACACCCGAATCTTTGAAAGAAAAGAGAAATTTACAGACAACATAAAAGTATGATATCGAAATGCGTCAGTAATTTGAATATAATCATTACACAGGAGAATATATATGTATACTATATGTATATCGCTTCGTGTAATCTGTTTAGTTGTATTTGTATAGTATAAAGGGTTATTGCATGATAGCATTACAAATATGGACATATTAGGAGAGGACATCTTGGTACACTTTGTAAACAGCATTCACTCATGGTCCGCTTGTAAACAAAATCAGTAAAAGAAAACAGAAACACGGTGTATAATCCAATCTAAAAATGCTGATTGCCGTTCGAAACTGCTATTAAGGAACTTGCACAGAAAAAGAATCCATACACAGAAGATAAGTATCATACATATATTGTAAGATATTGACTTTATATAGATTATCATTTTTGAAATTTCTATTACTGTATAGATATTTCCAGTCATTTCGTAGGATTGTTGTCTCGTGTTTATTACACATTTCCCTAATACCAATTGATAATACAGCATAAGTTGCATGTTTTGAAGCATTTCACTTCAGTAGGTATGTACAATGCCACAACTCAGAGAGCTTAATTGAGCAAGAAGAAAAAATCACCCATACAGAGCATTTGCGCTACTAGAAAAATTATACTGTAATGAATGAGTTAAAAGAATGCGAGTTTTAAGCCATCAAATTGTTTTATGTACGAAGTAATTTTATAAAATTTACAAACAGGGCCTATCTGTAAAATATTTTTAAGTTTCTTTTCTATTCTGCATTGTTATACATTCTACATGGAAAATATTTTTTATGGGACAACCAAGAATATTTTTTTTAATAATAATGATAGATAATTCAAAAACTTCTATTCGCCATAACCAATCCCTGGGTTGATAAGAATTTAGCATGGATCTCTCTACCCAATCGTTGTTTCTTTGAAATATAGAATAAAAATTACTATATATTCTATACCTTAGAATTACACTAACACAGATAACAATTCCATGAAAATTTTGATGTATGGCTAAATTCTAAAAGATGCACAAAAACAATCTAAAATATGTAAAAGATATTTTTCATCAATGTATGAGCTATGTACAATATATTGGAATACATGGATACATTAAACCTACCTTTGAAATGCTACAACTTCTTATATTTCCTAAAACTAACGATGGCATTGGCGACAAAATTGTACATATGGAATCCTTTTTGTAATTAAAAACATGTGCATGTAAAAATTTATATTCCTTGATCTTTTATCGGAAATTCCTAACTAGTTTAACCAGTGACACTATACTATAAAACCGAAAATATGCCCGAAATATTTTATCTATAAAGGTGGAATTAGTAACGTTAAGGTGTTATGACGAATTTCAGCGCATGCGTTAAGTTGAAAAGTGGGGGTGGTGATATTTTAAATCAAACTCTTCCTAATAAGTGAAAGTATCAAATACAGTTTACGGCTTTGTTGTTATATCTAACTGATCAATATTTGTTAATAACAGACTGAGAAGGATAGCTGTCAGTCCATTGTTTACTTCCGTAGTTATCATCTAAAGCCAACGTTTAACAGGTATGGAAACATACAGCCAATTACGTTTTCTCGAATTACAAAAACTTAAAGGGGAATATAATTGGAATATGAATAATAGAAGTCGTTAGAAGCAAAGCAGTGATGATATTAATTCATTCATCAGAACTAAATTGTTCCGAAAGCAAATTTTTCATACATAGAGAATAAAAATAATAGAAAATGTATTTGGACAAAATATTTCGATACTGAAGCTATTTAATATATGTTTTACTGTCTCTAATTTGAAACTTTTAGACATTAAACTTTAAAAAAGTTAATATGTTTTATCATTGTATTCTTCTAAATAAAACTCAAAAATCAAAATGAGTCCATGGAAACGCCTTCCTAATCCTATCCAATAGGTGTTTCCTCAGTTATTGTTAGAATTTTACACAGTCTCTTCTACATGTAGTTCGCCCATCTTTTAAACCATATCAACTTATGATGGTTTTACATGTAATTGTCCAGAATATGCATGTTAAATTATATATCTGCAAAAGTACGATGAGACCGATCCTTTGAAATAGTAGTATATATTACTAATCTCTTTGGGGATATCAAAATGATTTAGTGTGAATAAATAAGAAATTCAAAACTGAAATGGTGAAGAACTGAATCGATAATTTAAAACATAGTAGCTAATGATATTGATATTAAAAGCTTTCTGGTTTAATGTTTACTAATAACTAAGAAACAAAGACACTACTAAGGAGGTTGAGATTTATCAAAGTGGAAAAGTTAACACAGTATATTCCCAACGATGTAATACTGTCTACTATACTGAATAAGATCTATCCTACATTCAAAAGGAATTGATTATAGTACATTGTAATTGTCATGTATTCTTATTTTAGAGGAGGGATTTCGTCTACTTTGACACATATATTTTGAAATACGTAAAATAGCAAATAATAAACAAACAAACACACACACAAAAATCAGCTCTCATTGCAAAAGTATCAACATTATAAATATGTTACACACAAAAATAAGAAAAACGAAAATAAAAAAGAAAATGGATTAAATGAAAAGACAGGGAATCGAATTTAAAGCTACAAATCTTTACTCCAAACAGACAACACATTTAAACCTCGCTGCTACCAACTGACAACAGTGTACCAATGTCGTTTTTATATTTATAACGGCTCATACCCTTTACGTACAGCCAAAAAATAGAAAAATATTCATCACAGTCATCAGTAATTTTGATGAGATTATTTCACCCCCTTTGGGGAAAATAACAATTATACAGTATAAAAATCTTCGAATGTCAGTTTTTTTTTTCTTTAACTTGATATGAAAAAGATGTTCCTTTATTCGGGAGAATCAACCTGAGATGGTAAAGCGTGATATATAAAGATTACTGTAGAGGGGGCTTAATACATTTGGTATTTTTTTCTGCTGGAGAGTTGTCTCCTATATAAACATATAAAGTTAGAAGATTATTTAAGTTAAATTCAAAGTGGATAACACTGTTTACTTCCCCGAAAAATATAAAGTTTTCCTATCTTAGAACATTTGAAGAAAAAAAACAAAAAAAACCACTTGTAATGATTTTCTTCAGACTTAAAATAATATATCAAAACTTAGATATCTTATGCCTTTTTTTCGGCATCCATATGGAATAATTAGAAAACTAGAAATTGGCATTACATGCGAAATGAACTGTTAATGATCTGAACATTTTTGTCACAGCATATACAGAAATCCCTCTCAAGTTTTGGTCTATTTGAAAATTAGTAATTATTAATTTTATCGAAAAAAAATTTTCTTGTTTCAAAATTCCAATAGGGAACATACATTACATTATTGTATAGTGAATAAACCTTTTTAAGACGTTTAGGCCACTGGATATTTCTATAAAACTTAGGATGGCATCATTTTGGTGCAGAACTATTAAAGCAGAGAGCAAACTGTCAAATATCCTTCGAAGACTTATGCTTAAATTACATGGAACGAATCCTACCAAATTTAAATGGATTCAATACGTAAAATCCATTTTTGATGATACAGGTCTTAGTTTTATATGGAACGATAAATTAGTTGTAAATAATGATTGGTTAAAGAGTATGGTTAAACAGCGATTAACAGATCAGTACTATCAGCATTGGTTCTCACAGATACATAATGCATCCAGGGGGAATACTATTCTTTATTTGAACTTGAGTTTTGTTTAGAACCATATTTATTACGATTATTACCTAGGGACAGATATTATATTTCTAAACTTCGATGTTCGAATTTGAAGTTACCTATTGAGACGGGGAGATGGGCGGGGATTGCCAGGGAAAATAGAATATGTACATTATGTAATGAGGGAATAGGTGATGAGTTTCATATAGTATTGTTTACCTGTAAAAATGCTGATGTTTCTGCTCTTAGATCAAAGTTCATACCAAATTATTATGTAATTATATGTAACGTACAAGTACAAAAGAAATTATCAATTTTCGTAAAGAAAATTATGAAATACTTTAACTAATTATATCAATTGTCTTTTATAACATACTATGTATTTGTGTTTTGTCTGTCCTGTCTCGCTATGTATTATCTTATGTTCGTAATTATATTGTCCTCTTGTACACCTGTATGTGTCTGAGGTAATGAATAAAATCTTGTATCAAATATATAAACATTGTTAGATGAATGAGGAAATATATATCGTCCTATAAATATTTTGAAAGGATATATAATTTCAAACCCATATTTTTACATTTTTATGGGCTTATATTAGCATATTTTCTATAGAGATCAACACTAAAAAGGAGAAAAAACAACAACACCTTTTGCCATTTAATATGAACATTTTTGTCACAGCATATATAGAAATCCCTCTCAAGTTTTGGTCTATTTGAAAATTAGTAATTATTAATTTTATTGAAAAAAATTAGTTCTTGTTTCAATATTCCAATAGGGAACATACATTACATTATTGTAGTGAATAAATCTTTAAGTTTTTAAGACGTTTCGGCGACTGGCCTTCTTTAGTTTGTTCTTTATTTTCCTTCTAACTACATGGTGGACATTTTCTTTCACAATCATTAAAATGTTTTTCTTAAATCAATATAAAATAAGGCGATCTTAATAAACAAAAGATTTGAATGATTGTGAAAGAAAAATGTCTACCATGTAGTTAGAAGGAAAATAAAGAAACTGAAGAAGGCCAGTGGCCAAAACGTCTTGAAAAAATGGTTTATTTATTACAATAAAAAATGAAGTCATTTTACTAATATCGTGTTTGATCTCAAGGCCACAGATACAGGATGAAAAGTCTCATAACAAAAGACTTTACTTAAAAGAAAATCTAATTTTCACGGTGAAGTTGTTTTAGAGCCCGTAAATTTAGATTCAATCCATGTAAGCTTATCGATTTTTCAAATAAACTTATTTTTAAGGCTTATCAATTTAACACAGTTATAAAATATTTGAATACAATTTTTATCAGTCATATTGGTTTTGCTATCAATGAATTAATAAATAACTAAATATGTATTGCTATACAGTTATTAACAGTAACGGTAACCGTTATATATCCTGTCGATACTTATATTTGGCCTTGCGCAAAATCATGTTTTCCTAGACTGTTAAACATCTTTACACTTAATCCTTTGGATGTGTATTGATTGATATTTTTTTTTTGATACATGATCATTTTATTATATGTTATTAGCTTTGAGCTAGCGTTTAGTAGCTGCATGTACTCTCAGATCGGTACTATTTGTCTTAAGTGCTTTGTATCGATCTGATGAGTCCAGCCCTTTTCCACTGATTTTTATAGTTTACCTTAATATGCGATTTTTCTACTCGTTGAGGCTGTACGGTGATCTGTAGGTAAAGCTGAGGCTGTACGGTGATCTATAGATTCATCCAAACTTTTAGAAGGTAAAAAGGATTCACATAATAATGGATTAATTTCAAAATTTAGTAATCTTGCTAGGTAAAGTATACTCTGAGTTTTTATATGCATCTCCAGTGGGTATCTCCCTAGCTCTGTTCTCACGGCTATGTTTGATAAAGATTTTCTTGTTCCGAGGATATACTTGCAGAAAGACAAATGTAATTTTTCTAAACATGATTTATCAGTAAAATTAAGCAGATCTATATTTGTTTTGGAGATATGTGCACGTTTTTCTGCTCTAAATTTTGAAACATATGTATCCATATAAGTAATTTCTGAATTGTAAGTGGCTATTGGTTTAACTTTAGAGTCAAAAAGACTGCAAGCTACTTTAACTGGCAGATTATTTAAAGAACCAGTATAAGTTTAAATGGCAAACACCATTTTCCTTGCTTTATTTACAAGTTCTTCAGAGCTATGCAATAAGTTTCCATTTGTTTTCACAAGAATTCCAAGAAATGAATATTCAGAGACATTTGTCAAATGTTCATTTTTATATTTTGCAAAAGATGGTTCCACTTTTTTATAATATTGCTGCAGAATCATTGTTTTAGTTTTATTAATATTTAAAGTCAATTGCGACTTTTCACAATATTTTTCTAAGTTGTTCATACTATTATGTAGGCCTTCTTTACTTTCAGATAATATTAAAAGGTCATCAGCAAATTGTAAAGATCCTACTTTAGTATCAATCACTTTCAATGGACAGCTTTTTTCATTTGGAAACTCTGCATCTAAATCATTTATAAACAAATTAAATAAGGTAGGACTCA